CACATAGAGACAGACAGACACTCACGTGTTCGCGGTGTGTACCTGGATATTGTTATCTATTCACATGCGTGCGCATCTTCTTATGAGGCAAGCTAGTGAAAAACCACATAGAAAAGAATATGTTACCACCATAGCTCCAAGAGGAAAGAACCTAGAAACCTGAAATTTTGCACCTATACTAAATGGACCCTGGGGGTATGCACTTGGGTATTATTACTTATTTACGTGCGTGCACGTGCGCATCTTTTTATGCAAAAAGCTACATAGAAATGTTTCCGCCATGGAATGATAGAGTGTTTTAACTATTAGGGGATGTTATAGTGTTTTTCTTTAACTATTATGCGATGTTAGACGGTAATTTTAATTATTATGGGATGTTAGAGTGTTTTTATTTAACTATTATTGGATGTTATATAGTAGTTTTTATCTATTATGGGATGTTATAGTGTTTTTTGAACTATTATGGGATGTTATGATGTTTTTATTTAACTATTATGGGATGTTATGATGTTTTTATTTAACTATTATTGGATGTTATATAGTAGTTTTTAATTATTATGGGATGTTATAGTGTTTTTTGAATTATTATGGGATGTTACAATGGTTTTTAATAATTACTAGCATATAGCCCGTCAAAAATGACGTGGCAAGTACTACTACCCCACCCCATAGTATACTCTAAACTCACATTTGATAGCTAACTGAAATAAATACATTTTGCAAAATCAAGCTTTACCAACAAAGAGGCAGAAAAGTACAGTCGAGGTAGTCAAACGTTGGTAAATTGTTTTTAGTGAGACAAGCTAGTGAAAAACCACATAGGAAAGAAATGGTTCCTTATATAACAACATCTAATATATTGTTACTCCTCTGGTCGTTTGTTAATTACACGTAAAAATTCTTTCGGAAGAACTTCGGTGATACAAGTTCTTTCTTAAATAAAACTAGTTTATTATCTCTCAATACAACTTTGCAATATACTTAATTTCCACAGTCACTTCAACTTAAACACACGCTATAATTCACAATGATTTGCACACTTTTCTTACGGCTTGACTCGATTATCTGTCTCTATCTCCCTGTCTGCTATTCAATTATATATGCCGTCACTTCTCGCCGGTCTTATATATAAAATATAGAGGGCGTCTGGCAATTACTAGAGCCTTCATGAACGTTCGAGATACTCATTACGTGTTACCAGCGTCACGTGACTTCCGCTGTCGTAACAATATAGAAAAGCCCTTGCGTTTTGGTAACAATGTGTTCCAACAATGGCTTTTATGTCATGTTGCTTAGCAATAAATGTATATCGGTTATACTTTTATGTTAAAATGGGTTCAGAATACACACTCTATCAACCTAATAACCCGTGCAAAGCCGGGTACATTCGCTTGTATAGCAATATAATTGAGCAATCTGAAAAACATAACAACAAAATACACGCTTTTGTCTGGTACAAATATTTCTGAAATCCAATAATCAATAAGCAGTAAAATTTCACGTTAAGTTTATTATTATTATTTGTAAAAAGCTACAACTGGCCTTAAATCTAACAAAGATCATGTTGAGCAACTTAAGGCTGCCTCGTTCACAAATGATCTCAGGCTGTTTTTTCATGTACATGCACAGAAGTGTCTTTCGTACTATTATTACTCAAACATATTTTAAATGAAAGTATCACAAACTCTGTATCTACTTGTACGTATACATTACTAAAATCGACCTTGAAGAAAAAATAGTGAACCGAAACTTATAATATTGTAACCTATAGCACAATCATTTACTTAATCATCGCCTATTTCGTTAATACTTTTAAAACGTATTTATAATGAATTAAAATCGTACGAGGACTCTTAGAAAACTCTGCATTCCTCATGGTTTGTAAAAACAATGAACAATTCATCAAAAACGATGCCAAAAAAATAGTAGGGATGACATTTGCACTTTACCATACCTACTATCTTATCTGTGTTGCTTTTGAAGGATTAATATTTGCCATTATTACATTTACTCCCTTTTTTGAAAAGTTTTTCTTCTCATTTTTGCTTATTTTTTATGCATTGTTTCAATAGACAAAGAAAGGTTGTATTTATAACCAAGGTTTAAATACAGTGAGGTTTCAACTGTAATATTTATTGTTCATCTATTATTAGCTGGTAATTCCTGTTTCACCCTGCACTTAAGCTTTTTAAAAGGACACCAAATGTCTGTAAGAAAGCTAACTTCAAGGGGTAATGATAACATCGTTTACATTATAATTATTATTTTTTTTTAAATTAGTACTAGTTATTAATAATACTTATAAAAACGTATACTCCGTTTGAAACTATGTCACCTCAGTGAAATTGGTTGACACCATTGTTTTGGTTTTTGAGTTAACATGTAAAAAAAAAAGAAGACGAAGAAAAAACAAGAAATTCAAACTTTTTGCTACGATATTTATAGAAATTCCCAGAACTTGTGACTCAGTCACTACATAGATATTGTTATAAAAGGAAACACTGTATAGTATTGTAAAGTTCTGATCGCCTATTGAGGAGATATTTAAAATACCATTTCGACAAACAATCCGAGCCATCTCTCCATAGGCAGTGCTACCGCCTGCCTGATCATTCTTCATAAAGTTAATCTAATGATGTCCGAATTAGTAAATCAAACAAGTTTTTGTTTGGTCACGGCGTATTTTCTGGAAATTGTCGAGTAAATGGTTACTACGAAGATATAAAGTTTTGTCTACATAGGCCTAGGACCAAATGCAATTTTATCCAGAAACATTTAGAACATTAATCACCCTGCCAAATGCAGTTTTATCCGGACACATTTAGAACACTGATTGGCTGTATAAAAATACTTTTATCTGGACACATATGGAGCACTGATCACTCTACCAAATGTAGTTTTATCTGGACACATTTAGAACACTGATCACTCTACCAAATGTTGTTTTATCTGGACACGTTTGGAGCACTGATCACTCTACCAAATGTTGTTTTATCTGGACACATTTGGAACACTGATCACTCTACCAAATGTTGTTTTATCTGGACACGTTTGGAGCACTGATCACTCTACCAAATGCAGTTTTATCTGGACACATTTGGAGCACTGATCACTCTACCAAATGTAGTTTTATCTGTCCACATTTGAAACACTGATCACTCTACCGAATGTAGTTTTATCTGGACACGTTTGGAACACTGATCACTCTACCAAATGTAGTTTTATCTGGACACTTTTGGAACACTAATCACTCTACTAAATTTAGTTTTATCTGGACATATGTGGAGCACTGGTCACTCTACCAAATGTAGTTTTATCTGGACACGTTTGGAGCACTGATCACTCTACCAAATTTAGTTTTATCTGTCCACATTTTTAACACTGATCACTCTACCGAATGTAGTTTTATCTGTCCACATTTGGAACACTGATCACTCTACCAAATGTAGTTTTATCTGGACACATTTGGAACACTGATCACTCTACCAAACGTAGTTTTATCTGTCCACATTTTTAACACTGATCACTCTACCAAATGTAGTTTTATCTGTCCACATTTGGAACACTGATCACTCTACCAAATATAGTTTTATCTGGACACATTTGGAACACTGATCACTCTACCAAACGTAGTTTTATCTGTCCACATTTTTAACACTGATCACTCTACCAAATGTAGTTTTATCTGTCCACATTTGGAACACTGATCACTCTACCAAATGTAGTTTTATTTCTACACATTTGGAGCATTGATCACACTACTAAATGTAGTTTTTTTTTTACATGCTTGAAATATTGATCACTATACCAAATGTAGTTTTCATCTATACATGCTTGAAACACTGACGATTCTTACAAATGTAACATTTTCTGGACTCGTTTGGAAGAATACTGATAATTATATTCAGTGTAAACAATCTAATAATTTGTTATCATTCTATAAAAACAGGTATTTATTTTCAGGTAAATTTGAGTAAATGGTTAAAAGCCATAATTATTTGGACTACTATTGGAACATTTACGATCAATTTACAAAAGGGTTAATCTTACAAAGAAGTTCAATACATATTTATGAACTCTTTATCAGGCTCTTTCATACCACCACGTCACGCCCATTTCGAAAGTTTTGTCTTTTTATTTTTTCAATAAAAAATATTTAATTACCAGAAAGAAACGTCTAGTGAAGCAATACCAGAATCCCTTCTGTTACTGGCCCGATAACCTTTGTTAAAATAAGTTATAAACACGATAACAAGACCATAACTGTTAGCCGACTACTTTTTAATACTGTAGTACTAACTTAAAAATCATTGTCACCATCAGCACAGGCGGAAATCATTGAACTAAACGTAACGGTAGATTTGATTAAGCACAGAAAAGTGGAGTTTACTTCTTTATATAATTAAGAAAACAACAACTGATTTTGGACTTTAAATACTATTGTACCCCTTTACATCTGCATGGAACATTTTGTGCATCACTGCATATTTGAATAGGCTGGGTTTCTGTGTCGACAATAGCTCCAAACTGAATCCAATTGTGAAAGTATTTTGTGGTTTTTCTTCCTACTTCTATTTCGCCCTGATTCCAAAACAAACTTAATTCCAATTCTATTTGTTTATATATATATATAAATCAAAATTTCTTAGTTACTTTTCATATAATGTACATACGATGAAGGTTTGATTTCCTCTGTTGGTCGCGGTCGATTTATAACATTCACTACCTTATTTGTGAGGCTTAACACCATAAACTTACCGTATATAACCAAGTTTGAATAAACATTTTATTTTGTAGAAACATTTGGAGGCTACTAAATTGGTTTCTCATAAATTCACATGGCTTTTCAAGATATCGATCATAAATTCACATGGCTTTTCAAGATATCGATGCTCTGTTAATGTCCCTCGTAAATTTAACGCGATTAAAAACAAAAAGACAACACCATAGAGCAATAAAAATGAGTTTTATTTTTAAAAAATGAGAAGCATATGAACAAATGAAATTTGATGTTTTCTATTTTACTGAAACAACTCAGAGAAACTAGCTGAGATGAACTGAGAAAACAACAATTAAACATATATTATTTCAAGAAATACAACAAGAGGAGTTTTGAAAAATTAAATTATTTTTTACACACTGACAGCGTTAAGTTTTTAAACAGTGTTTTTAAGATTTTATTTTTCTTAACCCACCATTTATTAAATAGAAATATAACTTATCTGAGATCATTGGAAAATTACGAGGTGTGCTAGTTTAGGTAACGACTTAAGTATGAAACGGATGAAACTGCATATACAACATAAACTTAAGTATGAAACTGCATATACAACATATGCAGAACGTTTTAGACGTATCCCTTAAACTCGTAAATTAAAACTGTATGTTGTTCTTTGTAAATACTATTTACTTATAATGTTTAAGCATAAACTGTTATATTTTAAATCTGTTTGGAAAAGATATAAGGTTTTATAGTAAATACTACATACACCAAACAAATGCACACTGAAGAAATAATTTTATGTACGTAAATCCAAAAACTACTCAATTTATTTATCCAAAAACAGGTCTTACTATTGTTGAGTAACACGGTGTCGTACGTTTAATATGATTCTCCTTTGGTAAAATACAAGTTCAAGTGTTAACGAGCAACATCCCTAATAAAGGTTGTTACAAATAATGCATAACACACATGATACTAAAGTAATTATATACGTTTATCTGTACACAATATCCTACATATAATCTCTATGTGCTGGTCCTTAGTTCGAATAATTAGTTGAGATCATTATGCTCAGCTGACATTACTGCTAGGTCAGTAATAACGGAGGGGTATGCTAATATTATTTACGTTAAAGTAACTTTTCCATAACCAACTTTATGTACACACACATATGTACAAAAAATATGAAGTTTAAATCAAAAACTGATGATGTCCTTACCTGTATCCTTATAAACGTGAATGTCAAATTAAAAATATTTATTACACATACACAGAGCTCATGGCCAGTCAACAATCTTCAGAGTCACTAAAGTAGCTGAATTCAGTATTGTTAAAACAAGTTGATGATCTGATAGTGAATAACTAACAGCGGAAGTGTTCGTACTGTACAATTGAAATAGTTAGGAAGAATGGGCTTTTCTGTGGATAATAATAGCGTTATGAAAATAAAGAAACTTGATATGTAGGTTAGTAAGTAAAAAAATGTACATACATCGTTAGCGTCACCGATTTATTTTTGTTAGTAAATTTTACATATAATGTTATATAAAAATGACCCCCCAGAGAAAAACTGATTAGGGTTGTTTTGTCACTAAGCCTCTTCTAGGGGAATTGGTTAATTTCAGCAGAACTTTTAAAGCAGCATGAAATAAATAAAGACCGACATCAATTTGTTTATAAACTGTCTGTTTGTTTGAAGTTAAGCACAAAGCTGCACAATGGGCTATCTGTTCTCTGCCCACCACGGGTATCGAAACCCGGTTTCTAGCGTTGTAAGTCCGCAGACATGCCGCTGTGCCACTGGGGGGCTAAACTGTCCGAAACGAGCATATGAAAAGGCATTAACTGTTCTCATTATTTTCATGTTTTATGACGAGAACCAATGATAGATATGTTACATTAATTTCAACTCATATCGTTCCATATCACTAAATATCAAAAACAAGCTTACAATATCATGCTAGTTGTACTACTTTCATCCATACGCATTCGCTGCTGAAAAAAATAAAAGAAAGAGAGAAATATATATACATGTTCACAACAGTGCAGAGGTAATGTGGACAAAAGGTATCTACTATCCAGTGTTGAATATCGTAAGATGTATCACACGTTCTTCTTTGGTAGTTGTATGGTCAGGGCGTTTCTCTGCAAAACAAGAAAGAATAAAGTATATATAAAATACAAGTTATTTCCTTCAGTTCATCTCCACACAAATAATCTAAATGGATATATGAAATGAATATATAAAACAAAGATTATCTTTACCACAAGAACTGAATTTTTGCACATTCTATACGTGATACTGAGTGTCAAATATTCACATGCGCGCTACGTATTTCGTCTTCTCAGTCTGTCGTGGTTAATAGTGTAAATCTTAACCACCATCACAACAACTTCTGTCATAAAGGTGAAAACTCTTCTCAAACAAAGCAATGAATCACGTTAAGCCATCGCTGCATGTCATTTTGGAATTCACTTTGTCTAGTGACATAACTTTAAAAATCATGTGTGAGAAACATCAGCTGGCGCAGACAATCAATTGAAGAGTGAATACGTCTTCACTACAGGAGACCAACTATCGTTGTGTTGTATTCACAGCCTGCCATCCACGTGCATCTGTAGTAACATTCCAAACGTTCCTGTTGCCTCGGCAACAACAGTCGGCCAAAGAGGAGAGCGTGCCTAAATGTTGGGCCCACCTTCAATATGAAAGACCATTGCTACAGTGCGGAATTCTAAGGTTTAAAAAAAAAACGCTAGAAAAAAAAGTTCTTGTATAATCCGAAGTGGAATTCAACACAGAAAGATTTTATACTTTTTTTATCCCACAAACACTGAAATGGGCACGGTCTGTCACTGAAGGTTTTGGGATTAAGAGACTAAATCCTATCTAAAGCCGTTATTCAAAATCAGAAGGCCATCGATTCTCATCAGGGGGCGTTATGTTGCCAAAAAATGAGATATTTAAACAGATAAAAAAAAATAAAGCTCAGATAATCGTACCTAACTTTAGAGAAACGTTTTCAGCGCTAATATTATGTATATTAAATAATTTCTAATCACATTTTCAGTGATATCTAAAAAACATAAGTTTATTATAATCACTCTAAAATCGGAAAACTGAAATAAGACTGCTAATTAACAGTGGTTTCATAATATTAAAACTAGATTCTTTAGTAAACAGACACGTGATACAATTCCTTATAAACATGTGACTTCTGGTCTTTTAGTTTATAAAAAAATAACAATTCATGCAACTGTAATTTTCGATTGAAGAATAAGAATTTCATGAAAACAATTTTTACTATGTTATATTCAGTTTATAACTTAATAACACACCTAACTGGTAACGTGAATTGAAATTTCAACTTTAAAAACGAAACAGTAAAAACCAGAGCAATCAGACTGTATACCCTCGCTACACTGCTCCTTTTCGAAATTGCATGCGTTTATATTGGATAACGTCAAATTTCACCTTCGAAAATCCAGAAAATATTTCTGAAGTCCAGAATGATCAACGATCCGGATCATTTTTTTTTTTGTAGTGTGATGAGGATTTTAAACCTTAAGTGCCCATGAAATTTGGTACAAATCCGATCACACTTTACAGTTATTAACCCCAAACAGCGAAAATGCCCTATCTCCACATTATAAAGAATACTCCAAAGTAATCCAGAATCAGGATCCGGATTTCGATCCGGACTGTCCCATACTGACTTCTCATCTTGTGTAGAATTTTCGTTTACATAGGTCTATCAATTTTTGCACTACTTCTGCAACTTACATCAGGGGTCTCTCTTTGTGAAAGGCATAAAAAATAGTTGTATCAGAACTAATAATGCTAAGCTTTTAACAACATAGACACGAACATGTGAAATACACATTGTAATGTGTTGTTCTTCGTAAATATGGGCTGGGCGTGGACCTCGTGCACAAACTGTGAACAGAAGGATTCACGGTTCGCGACGTGTTGCCTCAAAAACGCGCCTCGCACTTTGGGGCTGTGAGTGCGCTATAAGAGGGACGATGAAATCTCACTTTTCAATAAGACTAAACAGCCTATATTATATATATATACATACACAGTATATATATATATACATACACATATATATATATATATACATACACAGTATATATATATACACATACACAGTATATATATATATATATATACACAGTATATATACATATATATACATACACAATATATATATATATTGTGTATGTATATATAT